TATAGACATTCACTGGCCCTGTTCTTTTTTCAAGATGGAGCAGATGGAATGGGAATCTTTGACTTGTTAGACACTGGAGATGATCTTGATCCTGATATTATAAATATTCTTCCTGCATCCCCTACTGGATCCCCTGTACATTCTCCAGGGTCCCACTACCCCCATGGAGGTGATATGGGCAAGGTAACTGTTAGTAAATACAGACTCATGTGTGTGTTTTGTTTTTCTCCATCTGCTAATTGCCTTTTGTGGAATGAAAGGTTCCTATGAAATGTTTTGCATCAGCTGGATGTTGGATTGTCTTTGCACGATTCATGTAATACTTGGCTATTTCAAAATGCTTTGTGTTTTGAAAGCTACAGATAATTTCTATTAAGTTTGTGCTCTCCTAATAATAAACTGTTGCCTGTTGTTTTACAGGGTCAAGGTACAGATCGATTGCTTTCAACAGAATCTCATGATGAAGTAACAAATATACTGCAGCAGCCATTGGCCCTTGGTTATTTTGTGTCAACTGCCAAAGCAGGTCCATTGCCTGACTGGTTTTGGTCAGCGTGTCCTCAAGCACAAAATCAGTGTCCGTTGTTTCTTAAGGTACTGTGACTTCAGCAGGCTCTACAGCAGTCTTCCTGGATAGTCTGTCATAGAAAGTTGTGCAGTGTGCAGTGGTCTGCATTATGAAAACTATTATGTTTAAAACAAAGTTGGTGCATGTCTCTTGGAATATGTCTGCTTTTGTTTTGAGGGAGGTCAGGTTTAAATTTTTGAGCTTCGGCTTTTTATGTGCACTTTTTTAAGGGAAGAAAAATTATTAATGGAAGTAGCAAATGTCCTGAAGGGTTCTGCTCTTCTCATGGTTTCTTTGCAGTAGTCTGGACTCCTTTCTTCTTCTGGCTTTGTTCTGTGGTGTCTCGTAAGAATAGGTTGAGTTTCTAGATGGATCTCTGGTTAATGCTTGACTCCCGTGGGGACCAGTGGTAGAGGGAGTACACAAGTGTAGTATCTCACTTACACTGGTTAAAAGAGAAATAATAAATAAATATCTTTATGTATTGCACAAAGCATAAAAGCTAGGTTTTCCATGTTGGCTGTTGCCAAGTGATAGTCATTGTATCATCTGTCTGGATGTTGTCTGATCTCCTTATCTTTTTATGGCACAGTCCAGACGTACTTGGCACATTTAAGGCTATACATTAGTATACCAAGAAACTTTCTGTATTAGCATTATTCACTTTTGACTTAAATTAACATCTCTAATAGTGTGCTTTATTTTCTGATGATACAGGTATATCTTCTTCAGCCTTATTTGTGTCCGATTAGTGGTTCTTCTTGTCGTAAGCTCAGCTGTGGCTTTTGTATAAGACCTTTTTTTTTTAACAGAGGATTTGTTATTTACCCTAAGAAGCTCTATATATGGCATATAAATAGACCAGTCCTATGGAAAGCAACTGAACTTCCAAGTCTGTATATTACTAGACATCTTGGGCCACTTGAGTTGCTTTTTTAATAATCACTTAAATGTAGCAAAGGGATTAAAAAAAAATTCTAAGATATATTACAGTACTACTGTGCTTTTATAGGAGAGATCTGCATGCATTTCCTTTATATTCTGATAATTCCTGAACTTGTTGATGGCCTAAGGGTAAGATTTGTTTTGGCTTGTGTGTCAGAGAATAGAAGGTGATTGCAAAGTACAGGTCAACAATACAGAGGGAAGAAAATAAGCTGTAGTTGAAGCTGTAGTTGAGTCAGGCAGTAACTGATAACATCTTTCTTCATTTCTTAGGCCTCTTTGCACCTCCACGTGCCTTCAGTGCAATCAGACGAGCTACTCCACAGTAAACACTCCCATCCACTTGATTCTAATCAAACTTCTGATGTGCTCAGGTATTTATGATTGATCACTTGCACAAATATTGGGCATTTCATTTTTAATACTGCTGCAGTGAAGCTACGTATTTATTTCTTTTTCGTTATGTTAGTTTTTTCTTGTGCTGCTGATATCCTTAGTACGTCACAGAGACAACATAAATTGCTGTACTTAGAGTGATTAAAAGGTGGCTTTATCACAGAACAGTGCAATTAAAAACAAACATCCCTGAGCCCATCTTTAACTAATCAGTGTTGATTACAGCTGAAAATATTTGAAAGACAATTAATTCCTCAAGCTAGAAGAGTTTGAGGTGTAACACAGAAGATGGTGCATAAATGAGTGGAAAATAGTTATAGTTAAGCCAGAATCTTGCGTGGGAATTGTGGGAATACTGAAATACCAAAGTAGAAGAGTCTAGATAGACTCATGAAAACAGGGCACTTTTAGATTTTTTTGGTGTTTTTTTTAAAATACGTGATCCTCTTGACATTAATTAAACATAAACAATTAAAATGACAAGTTTTCCTCTTTGAACATTTTCCATTTGTTCAAAGCTAAATAAAGTTTAGCTTTGAACTGCTTGTAGTAATTTTTGAAGGCATGTTATTTCAGAATGTTGGCAAACCTAGTTTATGTTTTTAATACCAAAGAAACTGGATTATATTAAATTAGGACTGTAAAATACTGGTGAGAAGATCCATTGGCCTGATGGAAGGTTGTTTGCTTTTCAGGTTTGTTCTGGAACAGTACAATGCACTCTCCTGGCTAACCTGTGATCCTGCAACCCAGGACAGACGGTCATGTCTCCCAATTCATTTTGTGGTGCTGAATCAGTTGTATAACTTTATCATGAATATGCTGTGATCTTCATCTGAATTTTGCAAGACAAAAATGAGGAAAAGGGATATTTCACTGCAGGACTAAGTTATCATTCTTCTCAGTGCAAGTTGTTTGCAATGGGGTATGAATCTTATTACTTCCAGCAAATATTGTTTTGACTTGTGAGAGGGGCACCTATTGCCCTACTGTCTTTGAGTCACCGACTATGGGGGACGCTTTAGAATGATGATCAGAAAGTGTATTATAACATTTTTAGTAGCAAAATTAACCATTTTTCCCCAGCCACAGTATTTGTGAAGAGTAATGAGCCATAGTACCCAGTCATGGTTAATGAATATTAAAAGCATGGAGACGAGAAGAAACATGAGGAACAATAAGTTTCAACCTATGGCTTCGGAACATCAAGATGTTCTTGTATTGGATTATAGTACCTAGTATTCAAAAATGCCTGCATCTCTTATTTATTGTAAGTTTTTAAATGTATAAATTGTCTTATATTTCTTAACCTCTTTTATAAAAATTTTCCTAGAAGGTTTATACTGCCTTCTTGCTTTAAAGCAATTGGTCTAAAATATATGTAATCGTCTTAATTAAAAGTTGCAGTAGGTTGCTTTTAGAGTATTATTTTTTTGTAAGGGGGGGGGTGGGGACAGTAAATTTGTATTGTCTTGATGTACAGTTTAATGGGGATAGAGGGGTTAATGTCCATACCATTGTGTGTGGGGGATTTACAGCTAAGCTGTAGTTGCAGAGTACATGTACAGTAATGAAGTTCACTGTGTTTATATAAATTGAAAAGGTACCGGGTCTTACAGCATTTTATATCACACCTTTACAGAGTAACAATGGCAATATATAAGTGATATTGTAGGTGGTTTAACTTGTAGTGAGAATAAAATGAATAAACTCTTCAATTGAAGTTTGTGTTACGGTTCAGGGCTGTGGCTAGATTCTCAGATCTATTTCCAGTATGCAAGTTTTAATATTACAAGAATATCTATTGTGCATTGTTACCTAGATATTCTTGGCACTGTGGTGACTGTGTTATTTTCTTCCACATTTGCGATAAAATGTGAATCTGACGCGGAACACACAAAACTCTGATCTTATCCAATTTCTCCTGTAAAGCTGAAATTTAGCCCAGCTCTAGCCATTTCACAAATGCAAAAATAGTCAATCTTGACTTTAAGATTGGTGTGTGTTTAACTAAAATGTGGTGTATATAGATTCTCAGTGAATTCTGGTATTCAGATTTTATTCCGCTAGTAAAAAAACAGCACGAATCCCTGAACATTTTCCTTTTTAATGTATTTTTGGCACTGTGGTGAAGGTCCCAAGTATGAGTGTATGGCCTTCCCTGTATCCCCCTTTCAGGCTCTGGCTGGGGCATGTGCCAAGGCGGCTTAGTTCTCCCTAAGGAAGGGACTGACAAATCACAAGGCTTTCGTAAACGTCTCCCTCTATCTACAGTCACCATTTTTTCTCAGTAGTTTCCTTCCTTTCTCCTAGCACATGCCAAATGTCTGATGCTGCTCTAAAATAGCCCCTACGGGTGCTGAAGAGCAACTGCATATGCTTTTTCTCGGTTCCTCATCTGACTGCCAGATTAAAAACTTAACTCCTGCAGTGCTCACGTGAGCCTGTTGTGATAACCCGTGTCCTGGGTCTTAATACTGTCCGTCTTGCTGGTTTAAACCTTTAAAGGAGCAGGTTTTAAGATCCAATTGTGCACCCACTGTTAATCCTCTACAAGGAAGAATTTGCTTGCATTTACAAAACTTGCTGTGTTAATGAAAATTATGTTTCGTAAATACAAAATACCTGCCTGAGATCACTTTTCATATAAACAGTCTCACTGAATTGTGTATATACAATATTAGCAATTTTTTTGGTTTTGTATAAAGAAGTTGTACAATTGGTGATGAAAATTTTCAGTCATTTCTTCAAAATAACATGAGTGCAATCAGAAGCTAGCATATTTTGATAGTTAAAAACAAAGTCTGTCCATCACTTTATCTTGATAATTGTAATGCACCGCAGATTAAACAGCACATTTTTGTCTTAGAGAAGGTTTTTTTTCTCATTTGGCTGAGATTTTTTGAAGTGGAAAAGTGCTCCTAAAACTGGAATTTTCAAAGCTTATGTTCGTGTTTTTTTTTTTCTTCTTTTTTGGAAGCTTTGTGTTTTGAGGTGGTTGCTTTTAAACCTGGCTCAGTTAGCCAAGTTCCAAGGGCTGGGTTTTGGTGTGGCTTTCTTTGCTTTGTGTTAAATCTGACTTGTATTCATAAAGGTAAGTGAATCAGCTGCCTGAACACTGGTGCAACTGTGTTCTGTTACCTGGACCACAGCCTTCCCTGTGAAACTCTCCAACTGTGAAAGCTGCCAGTTTCCCACTTCCCTCCCCCTCCAAATGCAGCTAAGTAAATGATAATATCGTAACCACTAGCACTGATCAGGAGGGCCTTTTCTGGAGAGGTAGTCACAGCTGGCAGTGTACATATCAAACCTGCCAGCACCATGGAGCCAACTACTACATTGGGCATACTTTTTTGTTAGTTACTTTCATATAACTATTTTAAGAGCACATAATAGCTGGTTTATAAATAAAATTGTCACAATCCAACAACTTGGGTTCTTCAGCAAGTACAAGCTTAAATATTTGAAAATTTCAGCTCTAGCTTCTCAAAAAGGTCTTGCAAGAAAATACTGTGCCTGGCAGTGCTCTGTTAAGTAGCTGTGGATGTTTATCTCCTCTTAAGTATCCAATGAAAGATGAATCTGAGATCCTTCCATTCCAATTAAAAAATACGTATTTTAACCTAGCTATTACTGTATTAAACCATATAGTCACCTTTGACTCACTACTGTTTGGATTAGATTTCTGAAACGCCTGTTGCTAGACCAGCAGGGCACCAGTTGTACTTGCAAACAACCCTTACATTTAAAAGTAGCTGTACCATTTAGCTCTTTCTAACATTTCCTGAAATAATTAAAGATAAATGAATTTATATTTAAATCCTCAGCTATGTTCTTAACTGTCAGTTATGGCGCCGATTATTGTATTTCTATATTTACCTCCAATGGTAATTTTAACTCCATGTGTTGCTATGAAGACTTGCAGATGTCTTTAATCAAGCACTATTTGTTAATACTGTAATATCGAGAAACTATGTCGCATTATTTTAAAGCTTTCAAAAGTAAGAGTAAAATGTTTTAAAAAAAAAAATGCTATTGCACCATATAATTTGCTGCACAACAGTATGGCACAGCATATCAGTCTGTTTTGATAGTAATGCTGCATCAACAATGTTTTTATCTGGGTTTCTTTTGAGAATTTGTTAATTAGGTGACATTGTACGACATTACTGTCTCCACAACCTCCAGCTGGGAAGGTGTTTGGTTTCGGTGGTTTGTTTTTTGGGGTTTTTTGTTTTGGGTTTTTTGTTTTTTTTTTTTGTTTTTTTTTTTTTTTTTTTTTTAAGGAAAGAACCCAGGACTATGCTTCATACTTAAAAGTTTATTATTGTTATTATTGTTGTTATTGTTGCTGTTGTTTGTGGGTGTACTTTTTGTTTTCAGTGGAGTAAAGCTTAATTTACAGTAGAACTGGATTTGGGACCTACCACAATCCTCAGGGTCACTTTTTCAGGACGTTACTAATCTAACTTTAGGGTTTTTTTCCGAGTAAACTGGATGTTGAGGACCTTGCAGAGCAATTGGGTTGGGATGACACAGCCTGTGGCCTCATTACTGGACATGTCGCCTTCCCCGCCCCTCCCGGCACGGCTGGGCCCTCCGAGGAGCTGTTCTACCTTCTGGCACAGCCGCCACGCGCCGTGGGCCAAGTCGTTGTATTTATCCTGACAAATAAAATTAAAAAATAAAAATAATAACAAAAGCGATTAAGGAACAAACACTATTGCTGCCGAATGCCATAAACACTGAGTTGTACAAATTGTGACTGAGGAAATGAAAAAGGTTTATACTTTTTAAAAAAAATTTCAAATGGAATAAATTATTCATGAAGCCTTGATTGTGGTGTCTGGTTATTTACAGCAGGGGCGGGGCTGCGGCGCCCCATCG